AACCATGGAGACTATATAAGGAGCCCGAACTCCATGTAAACAAAAATCTTACAAAAATAAGAGGGCGCTAGTGTTCCATATGTATCGTTAAATTATTTTCGAAATTTTTTATTTACCATTATAAAAACAAATTATAATAATTATTGACTTGACTTCTAGTTTTTAGGTTAGTATACCTCCCCGATATATCTATTAAACTCATTTATAAAATAAAATTGGTTATTTGCTTACTTCACTCGTATTTATTATGCTACATTCACTTGGGTCACATGGAACACTAGCGCCACCCCAACTTCTGCCATTTCTTGGACAAATTTTGTCAATTTTCCCGTATAAGTTCGTACTCCTTGTCTAGTCTCCCTGGTCTTCACTTTAAATTTTTTGTGACGATTGATTTTAAGTATTGTCTAACAGGTAAGAAATGTTTATACTTTTAAGAACCGATAAACTTTATACTACAGTTATGTAGTACTAATGACTGAAGTATAAATTGTATAAAAATAATATAACCTATAGATCCTGTTATTAGGTTGTGCAAGTTTCAAATTTTTATCTTTTATAATTTTTGTATAATTAAAAAAAATTGTCAACATTTTTTTAGGGGTGAGATTGGCCATGGTGCAAACATATAAAAAAACTACCCCAATACCAACTAAAATATATGGATGAAGAAATTCAACACGTCCAGGATATCGAAAATTTGTCGTGGGTAATAAGAGCAATCATTTAAAATTTGTTGCCAAAGTTTTAGAATGCACATTTCACCTCTCAAAATTCAAATGTAAAAATTAAAGCAGATTTTGAGACATATAAATACAAAAAATGACACATTTATTTGTCCTGTAGTAAGATATCGCTATAGTTGATATGGAACAAATTGTATACAAATTAGAGAATCCTAAGGAACTAAGAAGGGAATGCTTCAGATTTATCAATCTGTTTTTTAACTGCCTTAAGGTGATGTTAGGATAAACGCTAAAGTTTTATAGTTTTTTATAGAACATATTTATTTTTTTTATATTTATTTACGCAAACACAGTGTCATGTTGTCTTAATATGCTTATGTTATGATGAAAATAAATATTTTAACATATAAACAACTGTTTTTTTTTTCTATATACATTCTGACTTATAGTTTATTTTTTAAAAACTAAATTATTGTCCTATCTTACTCTTTAGTCATGTTGACTTAAAAATATATGGCGTTTAAACAGCTATCCAAACTCGCCCCGAAGTGCGGGGCGGGTTGGGACAACAAAAATCCAAAAAAAATATACATTTTAGCATCATCAATTGTAAAATTTCATGATGTCTATGTATTCGTTGTATCAATTGCAATGCACAAAAAGCAAAGAAATCATAAAAAATATTATTAACGAAAATATTGATGTGTTTACCTCAAAATTGTCCAATGTCACCCCGGTTTACGTTAACATATTTTATTTTTAATACAATAATATAATAATTTAAAACAATACTTATTTCAAATGTTCAAAATGACCTTCATTTGCTTCCAAACACAGAATAGCTCTATTTATCACTCCCTATCTACAAACACACTCTAGTATTTCTTCATTTAATCTCCGACATTCTACTTTTATTCTGTTTTTAAGGTCATCAATATCATTTAAAGGCGAAGAGTAAACTTTTTCTTTTAGATAAGGCCAAAGGAATAGGGGTGAGCTCTGAAGATCTAGCAGGCCATTTAACATATATTTATTGAATGTTCTTCATCTATTGCCCTTTTTGGGTTTAAAAACTCTTCTTTTGAAGTCTGTCGCCAAATACCTGGCTAACTTTTTGAAAATTTTATCTGATGGAAGTTGTATCTGCGTAAAACGATGTTGGTATAAATGCCTGGCAGCTTAGCGTTCTTTCGGCACTCCATAAATTAAAATCATATTTAGTTTTTCTTGGTTATTGTAAGTATTCATGTTATAATTAGTTATATATAAAATAGATAGGTAAAAAATGTCAATTATTTTGAAAAATCGTTATTTAGAAACGTCAAAATTCTGTTGTTGTTGTTTCTACAGCTGGCTATCATTTTTCTGAATAAAACTACTGAAAGTGGGGTTAATCTTTTTTGCTGTTTTTCTAGCAACATTTCTAATAAAACTATAGACTTCCTTATATAAATGAAGGCAGAAAAAAAATATCTTTCTGAATTGATAAAAAAAATATAGTGTGCCATTTGAACAAAAACAGTCGACTATAGTAATTTTGACATATGTTACCATGGAGACGATCTAATAATGTCATTTGATAGACTTTGAGTGGTGATTTAAAAATATATAGGGTTTGTTATAGCTATTTGTTAAAATAAAAGATATACAAGGCCGCGAATATCAAACTGAATCATCCGGTATATTCAAATTAACTTTTTTCATATTTTGAAATATTCTATCACTAGGTGGAATTTGACCTATAAAATTTTGGACATCCTGTATAAATTAATTTATTTTCGCAGAATGAATTTGTGAATGGTCATTTTCCCATTTATTTGAAAGATGGATCGTTTTTATTATTATTACTTTTCTTAATTTACATTACCATTATCAAGAACTTCAAAGAAGATCAGGAATCGAAACTCCAAAGTATCCAGTGACAAAAAAATACATATACGAATTTTATAATTATGTCGTTAACCCAAACACATCAAGCATCTTCAATTATTTTAGAAAATGTGAATTTTTTTAAATTTCAACACTATTTCAAAACCAAAGCTTTTCAAGGCATTTGTAAGACATTTTCCCTTATTTTTGCCACACAAATTCATATTCAGCCAATTAATTCTGAAACCCCCTGTAGAATAGATATTAAAAAAACAAATACATTTATTTTAAATAATTTTTAATACAAAAAAATATTGCTACTTGTTGAAAAATAACAATTATTAATGTTATAAAATCTAATAAATGTATGTATAAAATAATTCAACCATGAAAATGTTTCAAACTACCATCTTCGTAATATATTCCTGGATTTAAATATAGATTTTTAAAGCCTTCATTATTAAACGGTGCTGTCTGCATTGTTCCGATTTCTGACATTCTTCTTCGTAAATCCTGATCAACCATTTGTAACAGTAAATTTACAGAATATGTCCGGGCTTCATTCATAAAATGTTTACATATAAGTTCTACATACCACGAGCCACGATTTGGATCTCGGTGAGCTTTAAAACCTGAAAATAATTCATCTACTTCAGCATAATCACTTAAGCAAATTAAAATTTATATAGGTACCTACTAAAGAAAATCTGCATCAATTAAATATGTAGATATAAATGATATATTGATTAGTTGTAAGTATATAATTTCAAAAATGTTTAGAAAAGTCAAAACAATATTGTCAAGTTTTTGTACAGGTTGCCCTGAAATTAGCTTGCGATATTTTTCCAGTGTAAAGAAGTTTATATAAACATAGATTATGAAAGGCCTGCTTAGGAGGCTGCAGTTTCTTTAGATATATCTGAAACCGTTGAAAACAAAACGAAATTTGGAACTGATTTCCTTTTATCACAAATAAAATGGAAATTAAACAGGGTCGCGGATATGTACGGGCAACAGTCGATTATCTCCTAAAATAAGATAGCTATTGAAAAATTACAAGACACTTTTTAGGTTTTTTTTAAATCTATAATATAAAGAAAAATTAAGTATCAGGATCAGTCAAAAAGTCATGATGAAACAAAGTTGCTCTTTCTTTAATGGAACACCCTGTATATTATTCTATATTTTAGTTCTTGAAATTCTAAATAAAATTCATACAGCACATCATGTACCTAAACTTGAAATTATTTTCTTATAAATTATACAAAAATATTTTAGTCCATTGAGTTTATAGTCCATCAAGTTACATTTGAAAGTTTCTAGCTCCATAACAACGCTGCATCATTCTTTTGTCTAATAGTGATTTTCTTGTCAACACCATGTCAAAAATACATTGAAAAATGGCATGTTTAAGTTTGAATGATCATAGGACATAGTGATAGAAGACGAAGTAGCGGATATTTTTCCTGAATTGCATCCCAATTAGGAACATATTTCTAAATCATCCATTTAAAAAAACATTGCAACGTTTTGATGAAAGATGTTACAGATCGACGAAAAAGTGGAAAACCAGTAAGCGTTACATATGAAGAAAATTCTTTGAATGTCATGTTAGATGTGGTGAAAAATTTAATAAATTCAACAGAATAGAGGGCTTTAAATAGTAAAATGAGTTAAAAAATTCCATTAAAAAAAAATTGCAAACGCGAAAAATTACATCCACATAAAATTGTTTACATTTGTTACAAGAATTGAGTGAACTGATAATGATCATAGAATCGAGTTCTGCGAAGTTATTATGAATAGATTAAACGAATGTCAACTTTGTATATATTGTTTTCTGACTAATCTACATTTTGTTTAAATAGTCGGAGAGCTGGTAACGCATGTTTCATGAAGTATTTGATGCATCTTAAAATTTTTTAATTCAAGTATCTATGGGATACCAAGCTGGAATACCTGTGTTGGCTTGACCCAACCCGGGACACCTGGCACTGCGCATAATAGAAAGGTGTAATAAAATATAATCCAAAAAAAATGTTTGATTCAGAGGCCAACAAACGTTAATCAAAAGTTTAAATAATTTAACAGATAAAATTTAATAAGGCAGACACTGTTGAGAGGGTTTACATTTAATTAATCCACCCCAAAGTTGTTTTTTAGAAAATACCATTTGAAGCGTTTGATTCACTCTGAAATTTTAATAGCATCTTAATTAAATATTAAATAAATTATTAACAAAAAGCCAGACAGTTTTTCCGGAGTTTAATTACCGGCAAACATGAATATTAGTCTTATTTAAAATAGAAAGAGATAGACTGCGCGTCGTTGGCGATCTGAGTGAGAGCACCGAATACCTCAGCAGCTACGCTTCCTATTGCTTATTGGTCACGTGTCCTTTACCAGCTGTACATTTAAAATTTATATTTTTGAATAGAAATAAAAAAAATTTTATTTATGTAGACAACTTTTTTTTGTAAACTTTTAATTTCTCAAGATAGAAGGATAGTGCAATTAAGCAATAATGAAACATTTGAATTTAAATTTTATCGAATTAAAAAAAAAGGAGACTGTGAGGTTATTATTGAAAATTCCACGATTAGAATGTATAATCAATTTTATAGGTTTATTATCATAAAAAATATTTGTTACAAGTACGTTTCATAAAAATGTTTAGAAAAGTATCTTCAATTTTCCGCCTCATCACTACTGTCCTCTGATTCTTCTTCTGTAGAATCATCGCTTGAAAGCATGTCTTGATCGTAAAAAATTTGTTCATTTTCTGAAAAAAATTAAAACATAATTAACATTATGACAAGATAACTGAGAAAAGAAAATTATTAGAAAATACAAGCCTTCATTGTTAGGACTGTGTCCGGCAATTGAACCGGTTTTAATCGCATCCAAAACAGTTTGTGGCATACAATCACCCTCAAACCATTTAAACTCATATTTATCATCTTTTATAGTCCAAGCGTGTCTTCAAGATAACAAAGATGTTGGAATACATAGATGATAAATATGAGTTTAAATGGTTTGAGGGTGATTGTATGCCACAAACTGTTTTGGATGCGATTAAAACCGGTTCAATTGCCGGACACAATAAAGGTTTGTATTTTCTAATAATTTTCTTTTCTCAGTTATCTTGTCATAATGTTAATTATGTTTTAATTTTTTTCAGAAAATAAACAAATTTTTTACGATCAAGACATGCTTTCAAGTGATGATTTGACAGAAGAAGAATCAGAGGACAGTAGTGATGAGGGGGAAAATTGAAGATACTTTTCTAAACATTTTTTTGAAACGTATCTGTAACAAATATTTTTTATGATAATAAACCTATAAAATTGATTATACATTCTAATCGTGGAATTTTCAATAATAACCTCACAGTCCACAGTCTCCTTTCTTTTTAATTTGGTAAGATTTAAATTCAAATGTTTCATTATTGCTTAATTGCACTATCCTTCTATCTTGAGAAATTAAAAGTTTACAAAAAAACGTCTACATAAATAAAATTTTTTTATTTCTATTCGAAAATATAAATTTTAAATGTACAGCTGGTAAAGGACACGTGACCAATAACCAATAGGAGGCGTAGCTGCTGAGGTAATCGGTGCTCTCACCCAGATCGCCAACCACGCGCAGTCTATATGTTTCTATTTTAAATAAGACTAATTTTCATCTAGCTTTTTGTTAATAATTTATTTAATATTTAATTAAGAGGCTATTAAAATTTCAGAGTGAATCAAACGCTTCAAATGGTATTTTCTAAAAAACAACTTTGGGGTGGACTAATTAAATGTAAACCCTCTCAAAAGTGTCTGCCTTAATAAATTTTATGTGTTAAATTATTTAAACTTTTGATTAACGGTTGTTGGCCTCTGAATCAAACATTTTTTTTGGATTATATTTTATTACACCTTTCCCTTATGCGCAGTGCCAGGTGTCCCGGGTTGGGTCAAGCCAACACAGGTATTCCAGCTTGATATCCCATAGATACTAGAATTAAAAAATTTTAAGATGCATCAAACACTTCATAAAACATGCGTTACCAGCTCTTAGACTAAAACGTATACGTAAACCGACCAGACCAAAATCCACATTGGATGAAGTTCCCACCCAACGACCACAGAAAGTAAATGTTTGGTGTGGCATTATTGGTGGACACGTCATAGGACCTTATTTTATAAACAGAAATTTGACCCCTGAACGATATTTATTACTTTTGCAAGAACATATTATTTCAGAGCCTAGACGATTATTCCCGAACAATAACAATCCCAATTTACCGGCAGAAACATGGTTTCAACATGATTGGGGTCCTCCACATTTTGGACGTGTGGTACAGGCATATCTTGATGAAACTTTTCCTGATAAATAGATCAAGCATAGAGGGGCAATTGAATAATTGAATAACCGGTTAGTTCTCTCGATATGACCCCCCCCCCCTTGACTTTTTTTCTGTGGGGCGACATAAAAAAAGTTTAAGAGTGCTTAAATTTATAAATTATAGGCTCACCGTTAATGGGCTGTGCTGTAACACCTTTAGAAGGCATTTATCTGCCTAAGTTCACATAAAATTTTCTTATGTTTAAATGTGACGAGACTGGTAAAATATTGTAGATTAATTTTGGGATACTGTACATAGTCCCAATATTGACTCGAAATAAGTAAATTAATATTTATGTCCCATATAACCTTGTTCCAATTTATACAGGGTGTTTTGTAAGTCAATGTCATAGATACTTTTTTCTTAAACTTAAACACTATGAGTTGAATGCATTTATCCAATTTCAAAAATACACACACACACTTAGTGGTGTTGAAATTCTTGTCACTGGATTACAGATTTCTATATCAAGTCAGTAATTTATTGTCTTTAATTATAGCACACTATGTTCCATGAATATCAATTTTTTTGCCCATATTCTTCAGTTCCATAGATCTGGTTTGAATATTCCTCAAATATCCATAAGGTATAACGGATATAGGAATGTTCTTTATTTGAATATCTAGAGAGGTATTCTGTTTTGATGTATATAACGAGCGTTCAAATAAAAACGTGGTCAAGTTGGTTCTGAAAATTTGGACGTATGGCGTAGCGTATAGCAAATGAACTTAAACGTCATCTGTCAAAGCGCTATATCGCCGCTATCAATTTGAATATTTTCGTTTTAAAAAGCGTTTAAAATGGTGTTTTCTCAAGAACAAAAAGTGTTTATCATAGAGTCCTACTTTAGAAATGGACGCAAGATTGATGGAATATGGAAGTATTCTATTGAGGAATGTTTCATAGAATTTCAAAATCAATTTCCCGGCGTTGTTGAGTACAAAATTTTTCAAAGTGCAGTTCAGCGTTGTGTTAATGTTTTTCGTGAAACGGGCAGTGTAACAAGAAAAGAAGGAAGCGGCCGACCTAAAAAGCGGACTGAAGAATTAAAAGAAAATGTCCAACAAATAATGGAAAATGCGCCAAGAACTTCTGTACGTGTTTTATCACAAATGGTGGGAGTANTGGGGTTTTTTAAAAGAGAAAGTTTATGCAACCCCCGTGAACACACAAGATGAACTTATTACTCGTATAAGAAATGGTTGTAATGCAATAATACCGCATCTAATTAATTTAAATAGATGTATTGTACGTAGGTGCGAGTTGTGCATTGAAAATAATGGTTCCCATTTTGAACAATTTTTATGACTGTTTTTGTTGATAATTTTAATTAGTTTAGTTTTTGGTATTCATTGTGAAAATAAAGTTGTTAATACACGGTGAAAATCTAAACGGCATTTTGATACTACTGCACAGAAGACAAGTCTATTTAAGATTTGTCAAACGTTGACATGAAAACCGACGCCAACTAGTCGTTGTAAATTTGTTTATCTGGTGGTTGCAGCAAGTGTATCTGGTATGCAGCTAACAAATAATAATCCATTTGAAGGAAAACACTTTGAAAAGTTTTAAAGTAATTTATTATTTATTAAACGGTGCATCGTACAAAAAAAAGTCAAGAGAGTTTTTTTCTACCAAATTGAACGAGGAATTCAAAAATAACATTAATTTTTAGAAAAACCAGGGACGTACCATTTTTTTATTGGAAAATAGTCACTAACGATCCGCTACTCGCGCCACTGGTGACAGTAAAAGAAACTTTTGCATTGCAAAATTTAAGTCTTCCATTGCTATTGACACCTGTCAAATTTCATTTAATTATCTTAAGCGGTTTAAAAAAAATGTATTTTTCTATTTTTCAGAATAAACTTCAACACCCTGTATTTTCGTAACGAAGCAATTTTGGACTATTGTTTGTATAGCAAACTACGGTTATTTTTGGACGTAGAACATACCCTTAAAGTTTGTCACGAAAAAGCTGGTCCACCCTGTATACATGAATATCCAACTTATATGTATCCATAATTTTTTCCACATAACTACTGACATAATTATTACTAGTTACATAGTACAGTCTTAACACTTATAATGCAATATTAGAATGTATGTGCTGAATAGTCAGTCCGTTTAGTTGCTACCTATCAAGGAATAACAGTGCTTTGACTTTACAGCAATAGTTAAATTTTCAATGGAGGAAAAAAGTTTAATAAATTTAAATTTTAATATTTTACAAGTTACACTTACATGAATATATTTACAGTCAATAAAAAGTGCATAAATGGTGAAAAAAATGAGTAAATAAGAATACAGGAGGCAACTTTAAGTGGGGGTCAGTTTTTTATGGGAAACAGTATATGTTCCCTTGAACACGAATTTGAAATTATTATTATTTTTAAGCAAATAAATAGTCCAGTTATAATAATTATTTTTTATATCCACTTTAATTCTTGTGTACACCGCTACTGAGTAGAGTAAACTGGGGCACCCGGAATTTTGTGTGTTCTGATAGTGCACTATTAACGTTGCTAGTTGTTTTCAAACCAATCTACATTGTGGGCTGTGACAATAATTATACTAATTATAAATATTTTTTTAATCAACTGTTACACTACAAAATTAATTAAAAATAATTTTGTTAAAATAGATTAATTTAATATTACAACGACCTGTTATTTTAAAGTCACTATAGTTTTTTTGATGTTAATGTGGATGAAGCGCCGAACAAAACCGCTGTTCTGTTGTGGTTTGCCTTTGAAGGCGGATAAGCCGAATGTGCTTGCATCTGATAGAGTGGTGGAAAACTGTAGTGTTTCATTTGGTTACGTATTTGTTTAATCTCGATTTTATCAGTTTGGAAGGTTGTACATAAAGTGCCGTGTTCAGTGACGATACAGTGAAATTTTGTGTTTTAATTTCAAGTTTTTGTACATTATGAAATAGTATATTGTGCAATAAATGCGGTAAGTTGTCTATTGCCCACGAGAGCGGAGTTGACATGAACTTAGCGAACAATTTTTTATCAACAACTTCAAATAGTTGATAAAAAATGTACATACTTATTTACTAATATAAAACACCCAATATTTTTAAAAGTGACCAACAAACGAAAACGAAAAAATAATCTAATTACAATTATTAATTGAACTATTAAGGATCCACAAAATATTTATAAATTACAAATTTTAGGCATAGCTAGGGTATTTTCGTGATGAACAAATTTCAAACAAAATAATTAAAAAAATATTTTTCTATTTCAATTTTAATTTACGAATATGTTCGTAAATTTTAATTACATTATATTTAATTACGTGATGACATAATATTAAGACAAATTAAATTTTAATATATTTACCATGTAATGTTGCAAAACCAATTAACATATCTTCTTTGGTTCGAATATGACTATCTATCTTTTGATAATCACTAGAAGGACCAGAACGTAATGCTGAATCAGTCTCTGTATGTCGGATTGTGTGATCAAGTGCAGATCCCCTAAATATAAGTAATATATATTAATAAATACCTTGAAGCAAAAACAGTAATGACTGTAACATCAATATCCTAAATGTTCTTTAGTGCAATTATTCCCGTTTTACACAGACAGTCATGGTTATTGTGCCAATTTATATTGACTCAGACATGTGCTTAGTTCATTGGCCCTGCATATCAAGAACAAATCAACAGGTCATCCATATTATGTATGTTTTCAAATGAAGGTTTTCAAGTCAGTCATTTTCATCAAAATTGAAGACCTTACTCTTTCTGTTTGGTATAAATATGGAATATGTGGCCTTAATAGAAACTGAATTATAACATAATATCACTTATCCCATGGTAAAATGAGGTGTAATGGAATAAGTTACAAGTAACTTGTACCATGTGTTGGTTTTTTGCACTTGATATTTGTTCAGGCCGTTTGTCATTTTTCTTTTAGAAATATCCATCCAACAGTTACTATCAATTACAGAAGGGGAAACGCAAAAAAATATATAACTTCATAAACATACATACATCAATATATAAAAGACGACACAGTATAATGTTATTAATATTATTCAGTTGTTTAAATAGTTATTAAATTTTTTAAACTAGTCACATTTGTACAAAATACATCAAACTTGTCCTGCAATTAATTATAAGTGTTACAAATAAAAAGTAATGTGGAAAACTTTAAAAGATTAGTTCTAGAAGTAGCGAGATGAAATGTTCTGGAATATCCAAATGCAATAAGTGGTAAAGAAAATGTGAACTTTTCTCTATCTATTCCAAAAACACATGTGTCTTAAGGAACCTGGATGGAATAAGGAATAATGTTTAAAAAAGGCTAGTTTATGTAGCCACGATTCCATATGAAAGAAGCACATTCAAGTTTAGATCTCACAAAAGTGTTAAAAAGCAAAAACAATGCATTCATAAATGCAGTCCTTTTTTCATAACATGAAACCAATATTTTTATACGATACAATTCCACTTTTATTAAAGGTTAAGTTTTTCATCAAGGGTCAAGTAACAAGAATTTTCAAATTGTGTCTTGTCTATCAAGTTAATTCTTTTTTTGTGTTTTGGTAGCACTGTCAGTCACGTACCTATCAATTTCTAGGCAACTGCCACACTTAGTTTGTGTTTAGCCAACGATTGAGTAAGACTTCAGCGTTTTTGGTGATTTTTTGTGTGGAGAAATGTCAGATCAGAAAGTTTGTCTGAAATTTGTGTTAAAAACAGAAATAAGGAGGTTCGATAGATATCTTGCGGGGCAGACGGTGCGGGAGGGAGGTCTATACTTATACATGGGAGTTTCGTTGTAGTACCAACCTTACTAAACTAATTTGAGCAAACTAAATATAATATATACAAATGAAATTTATACAACACATATTAGCTCCCATATACTTTTCATGTTTTTCGTGTTTAATGCACGGCAATTAACTTTTTATTTGAATAAAAATGTTTATTTATTCATTAAGAGCTTGTAAAACTATGGGCGAAATCTGGCAACATTCCACATCAGTGTGGCGTGGTGGTAAAAATTGGGTCAACTATCAAGTGTCAACTGTGCTTGGCCGCTTGGCGCATATACAGTAAACATGAATGAACATCCAAGCTACAAAGTAAAAGTAATGACTAAAAAGCAATATAAAATGCATATGAAACAGAATGTGGATTGATGAGAAATAAGTAAAATTTGCAAACCGAGAATCCATATGATAATATCAAGAAGCTCAGTGTATGCTAGTGAGACGTAACCTTATCAAATTGAAGATTACAACTGAACATCTATACTGTTCGTTTTGCAAAGCGATCCTTTCAATTTTTGTTTCAAATTGCTATTATATTGCATTAGATTATGAAAAATTTATTTAATATTAATTATTACTACATTATGTTTTCGACTACAATAATTTTATTGTCTATAACCGAGCTATTCAAATATAGAGCGTCAGTCAGAGCATTAAATACAGCGTACAGTGTTGTCATATTTCCTTTCATTGGATCAGTATCTCAATAATTACAAGTGCATATTTTTATTGTTTTAAAATGTTTAGTAATATTTAATTCTTTAATTACAATTTTATTTTCCCGATCCTAACCATTTTTAAGAGCACTATTCACGTTTGATTAAAGTTTTTTCTTAACTCGCATAAGAGCCTGTGTATAAGAGCATAATTTTTCAAAAAAACTACATTGGCAATCGATTTGATATTTTTACACGAAGTAGTTTGCATATTAACAACAAAAACATTAACATATTTCAATTGCTTTGAAAACTTTTTTTTTCGGTATCCAACCTCCTTAAATGTAGCAGTGTTCAAAATGTTAAATAAGGCTTTTGTCACAGCCATGTTAATAAATGGTACAAATGTTTTCGTGAAGACCGAGCAGACATCGCAAGATCTGGGGGCCCTAGCACATCCACCAAGAATGAAAACATGGAAAAAGTTACAGATTGTGGAGGAATAGAGCAATCACCATCAGAGAGGTTGCTGAAGAAATAGGAATTTCATACCACTCATGCAAAGCGATTTTTGAACATAAAACGAGTGGCAGGAAAATTAGTTTCAAAACTGTTGAATTTTCAACAAAAACAGTGTTGCATAACTATCACTGAACAAACTACGTTTCCAGTTTGTAGATTACTTTGAAGGGAATGGGATAAAAATTTTAGATTAAATAAATACCTTCTGAGATAATTAATAATATTCTCGTTACTTTTTGACCAAATCTCTTATATTCTGAACAATTCAGGTAACATTATCTAATATTCAGGTAACATTATCTAATATTATACGAAAAGAGGTTCCTTTTTCCAGATGTATGAAAATATATTGCACTTATTATATTATTATTTATTATAATATAATGTTATTACACCACTTTTTAATTTTTAAAAGGTTCATTTGTACCATTTAATGCAGTTTAACCCTTTCGCTGCGCTATACGTCTAAACGCAGCTACCGCAACGTGCGCGAAAGTTTATCGCGTGCGAACATATACGTCTGAAGCAGTTAGACCTCTTATAGTTTTACATTACATAGTGTTAAATTACCATTTACGATCAATTTTACGATTTTATTTTAAATAAAATACAGTACACCGACAGCTGTACTAAATAGAAACTGAAAGAGAGATGTACAATCTTCGCTATAAGCTCCACCCGCAAAAATTCCCCATACCAATTGCAACAACCGAGTCACTATGCGCATGGTTGCGAATATATATGGCTTGAGCAACCTGATCCAATTTAACTATTCAAGCGAATTAATCCGTCTGGAGCAGTTAGAGCTCTATAAATTTTTAGCGAATAAATACAGCTGGAGCAGTGAAAAGGTTAATACAGAATAAATAAAAGATTTTGATATCATCGACATAAAGTAAAATATTAGTCATATTACTGTCCATATCTTTGAGTATATCATTAACAAACAAAAAAGGATCCTATAACAGAGCCCTGTGGTCCCATAAACAGCCTGAATTTCAACGGACGTAAAGCCAAGAGCATATCTACTTGTTCGTTGTGTATGTACCTACCCATGTTAAACAATGAAGTAAAATGTGACAAATCTTATCGAATTAAATACTTTCAAGAATTGACAGGTACAATGACTTAAAAAACAAGTCTCAGGCTAATACAAAATAATAATAGTTTAATAAGTTTAGTAAAATTGTCTGCCAAATCGCAACACTTGTGCTATTTCTAGTCTATTCATCACCCTGTTGCACTGAATCTCTATGCGTGGCAGTACAGGTGTTTTTTGACAAGTTGCCTCAATAGTTTAGAACACTCTATTGACATTTCTTAGAAATTCTGACAAATGTCAAGTATTTGTTGAGGCATTATGATTGCGTATTATTTTCAAATCTATAAATTAAAAACTTAAAATAATGCGCTATTGTGACAGTAAAGTAGCAGAGCAAGTTATTATTGGTTATTAAACACTTTTTCCAAAAATATAAAGATACGAGAAAAGACTTTGTAGATATAATCCCTTTCCCTTCACTGGAAATGATATAACACAGTGTTGCCAGCGGACGTAAAATAAAAGTACTAAATCGGGAAGTGAAAAAGTGCTAATTGTTTGAAAAAAGTCTAGAAAATTTATAATATCGAATCAGATACAATAAGTCTAATAAATAATTACTTTTACTTCATTCATCACGTTCTTAATTACATGCTAGGTAGGTATGACGAAAATGCAACCAGCAATACATTTTTTATTTTTTACAGATGTGTTACCCACGTCTTGTAAAATTTTATGAAAAAAAATCCTATTATATAAACTATATTTGAATAAACTATGTATCCTTATATGTTAACATAAAAAATATATATTTTTTAGAGATAATGTGGAGTAGGTAGGTACGTGCGCTCTTAGGTCTCCCCATCTAGAGTACACCCCTAAGATTTCAGATTTTTATATTCATTTTTGACGGAGATATGCCAGGTACCCAAGAGCCAAGGATTTTATACAATGTATAAAATCAATGTATAAAATCCTTGCCCAAGAGCTCAAATCAAGAGCTGTAGTCCAACCATTGTCAATTGTGTGAATGTGCCAATCACAACACAAAACAGAACACCACAGAATCATAGAATATAGGAAAAGGCGTACCCCTCTATCCACCCCACGGCCCATAGTAGCCGTAGCAGTTGTATCCAAGATTTGTAAAGTAATTAGTTTACAAATCTTGAGTTGTACCAACATTGATAGGTTATGGTTATCTTGACGTCATACTCTTCGAAAAGGTGCAGAATTGTAAGGAGAAAGTACGACAGTCTAGTTTGTTTAAAAAGGTGCTGAAAACAGACCAAAGTGCTGGCGCTGGCAACACTGATATAACATAAGAATTACATAATACAAGCTTAGTCAGTCATCTCACTAATTTACTGTTTTTTTTACGAAGGCTTTATCTATTTAACATTAAATTTGATTGGTAAATCAACATTAAACCATAATTTTTCTGTAAAATAAAAGTAGAATAAAAATTTGACTTCTTAATATACTAATGTTAGAGCAAATTCATTAAAATTATTCAAAAACCTCTTTATATTGTTAAATATCAGTAATTTTAAAATAACAAATAGTATCCATGCAAATATTTCTGAATAATTTTTTTTTACCTGCACACCTGGAATAAAAATACTTTTGGTTTTCCTCTAAAACTTTTGCATTTTTCATTTGTAAAATGTTTCTGCACATCTTCCGAAGAAATAAATTTTCCATCTATTCCAAATATAATTGTCCGATTGGATTGCTCTTCTCCATGGCCCATTATAATTACAAAACAAATATCATACTGTTTATTTTCCTTATCTTGAGTAAACAATATTAATCGATGGACCATTTGCTACAACAGTAAAAAAAATTATTGTTTTTTATAAATTTGCTCAAGTAGAAAACTTTCAAGCAAGTTTCATATTTGAGTCACGTAGTTTCGACAACTGGCAACGTCATACAGAGCACAGTTGTGTGTGAGAGCGATTGATGGACTTATATTTACAGGACACAAGGTTGGGTTAGTGTTAAATCTAGTGGATGCATTATAATCATTGAGTTTTAAAAATTTTTGCAGGATTCGTCCTTATTGTTGAATTTATTTTATTAGTTCCTTTAAACGAAAAATGCAAACTGAAACGAAAAAGGTTTTAGGTAAAAATTTTGTAGAATGTCAGCGTGAGCAAACTAACCAATGTGCGACGTTGCCGCGTTTCATTTATGTGAATAATCATGCAAAAAAACTTAAAAGTTTGAGTATTAATATCTTTAATCCTAGCTGGTCAATCCTTTGCAGAGTTATATATGTATAACGTATTTCTACACAATTTAGTTTTGCCTACAATAGCAGTGTCTCAATGGGGTTATTTAGCTACAGCAACGTTTTCATCGTAACTACTACATTTTTCAAAGCAGCTCATTAAGCCTATGATATACATAGTCAACTTTGATTAAACATAACTCAAAAACTGTGTGGTAAAATGTGTTGAAATTTTGCATAGATATCTATCAAGTGCATAATTAATTATACTGAAAGTATCGTAATCTCGAATAATCTCTATTTAGGTGGTAACTACTTTAACCCATGCCTACCGCATATTCAGCTATCTGATAAAAATTTCTCTTCTGTTAATTACCCGTCCCTTATTTTGTTACATTTTGAAACTGTCAAGAGTTTTGCTTCTCTCTTTGATTTGTTTTATTGGCAGAAAAAAGCTTAATAATTAATTCAAAACACTTGAAATTTTGATATTTTGAGATGCGGCACACGGAAAAAATTCAGTGTTAAATTTTACACTAAAGTTATACTGGTTTGTATTTATTCACACTTTAAGTTGTTCTGAAGCGATGCAGCACTCAGATCTTGTGACTCATTGTACATGCTACTGGTAGTAAAGTTTACAACATGCCTGTGATACAAATGAAGACAAGCACTAACTTTACAGGTTACTCTCTGATGTCCAAAGAACTTATAAAAGCAACAACTATTTTTAATAAAAGTGGCAAAAAGTAAACCAACTGTAACTTTTACTTTGAACTTAAATTTTCAACTGTTATTATACAGAGCCTTGATAAATGTTAACAAGTCACGTGATCGCCGAGCTTAGGCAACCCAACAATGCAATGCAACAACATACTACTGACTAAAATTCCTTAAATCTTGGCATCACCGTTGAACAATGACAAAACGTTTCGCCTACCCTCGAGATAATGCGATCACTGATTGGTTAAATAGAATCTCGTGAAAAATTATACCAGTTACGGTGAATGAAACAGAATATTGTGTTTTAATGTAATATTGATTTTATTGTTAAAATTTTACCAAAATTTATTTGCACCATGAAGGAAATACAATTACTGTTCCAAACAAAATTACTTGTCATATGGCTTGCAATCATTTATGAAGGTCTGTCTGTATCATGTTGGTGTAGTTTACAAGGTAAAAAAAATATAGGGGCTGAGAAATGACATTTATCAGATGAGACATGTACATTATTGTAGGTTTACTATTTGATAGGCATAAAAATAATCACCTCGACAGTCGCATTATTTATAAGATTTATTTCCCATCCTCCCATCTGGTTAAATAATTCCTGAAGATTAGCGTTATCAACTTGGGCACCATTTCGATAAGGGTGCTCTTTTTTATCTGCATAATCAAAGTTATTAATAATGAGTACTTTTCCTCTCTTCTTTGATCTACTACTATAGAATTCAATTTTTTTGTTATGAGCCTCAGTATCCAAAAATTCATTTGCTCTTACAACTTTAACAGTTAAAGACGTTGTGTCGCTGCTTACATGAAGCGGTATATTTTCATTCAAATAATCATCATCTGCATTTGATTCCGGTGGAAGAGAAAATGTTTTGCAGCCTAGAAAATTAATTTACTATTAGTTATGTTCTGTTACAACTGTTTACATCTGTAGGAAGAATTTGCGTACAATATTGTGCACTTTAATTTTAAAGTAATTCATACCTTTAGCTTCCGGAACTAATAATTTTACAATATTATGCTGGTTAGTTTTCTTTAAAGATTCTACTAATACATTAAAAGCGTTTTGTTCTTTCTTCTGAATATTGAAGAAAAATATCCTTTTATTGTGCCTTGCATCATTACTCTGCAATACATTTAACATTATTAAAAATCTCTTGTAAAAGAAAATCCATTGAAACTATATATTCTGTGTATATCATCATGACATATTTCTATTTACTAAAGGTACCTGTGCAGATTTGCAACTACCTCTCATCACTTACCGAAAAAATTTGAATGATTTCAGATTGGGAAAATATTCCTTTGTCAACTAACAACTGTTTTAAAACGTCAACATTACAATCTTTCATTAATATAAGGAAGTTTTTAATTATTAGATCTTTATTTTCTTCCAACATAATTCCAATTTTTTGATATTATGAACAACTAAGGTACATATGTATATGTATATATAAATTAAATCACAAACACAAACAATAAACACACCTGAACCTAACAAAGCAGTCAAATGTCAAATCATATGTCACATGAGTAAATAAAATAATTTATTCCAGTGTTGCCAACATCCAGAACGTAAACGTCTCACATCTTCAGGACGATTTTTAAAATTCGTCGTATGAAGCAGTTCCGAGCGAGCAGCCAAGCCGAGCAGACGTGTTTGTGAAGTGAAGTGCAGTGCAAGGAGCAAGATCTACCTGCCTTTATTAAGGCTACCTGGAAAGAATCCCTTTCTTTCCTCTTAATCACCGACCTAATCCCCGGCTTAAGCATAGAGGCCGTCGGCATCTTTGTTACAGGTACCTGTGCCGAGGTTATGCCCAGGTAAGTCCCACTTTTACTTATTTATCAGTTATTTGCATTACTTTAAAATACATACACACACGCACAGAGAAACGCAAAAAACACACGGCGGAATCCTCTAGCGAGGACGAAGCCTCCAAACATAAAGAATCAGACAAAACAAACAAAAAACGACCACAAACACCAAACACGCGCCCCCGACACCTAAACCCTCCACAAGCGCCCTACAAAAAAACCCACAAAACACACAAAAACAGACAGACAAAACCAAACAAGCCCCCCCGGTAATCTTGCGAAAGCAAGAACGGTGGACGCAAGTACAAAAAATACTCACGACACTTAACATTAACTACACAAAAGCCAAATTGACTAAAGACGGTATAGCCATATACCCAAACACACCTAATGACCACAGACTATTGACAAAGACACTGACAGACAAAGGCGAGGAGTACCACACCTTCACCCTCAGCGAAGAAAAAACGCTGAGGGTGGTGATACGCGGAATACCTGCGGGTGTTTCGCCAAGTGAGGTCCAACTCGACCTCGCAAGACAAGGGTTCCCCGGCGCAATAGTGCACCGCATGGCGAGCCGTCAAAATAAACAGGAAATGCCCCTGGTCCTAGTTCAGGCCCCACAGGACCAGGAGGACATCCTGAAGGTAACCCGCTGCTGCTCGCTCGTGGTTCGAGTAGAGCTGCAGCGAAAGCAGCGGGTTGCCACACAGTGCCACCGGTGCCAGCGGTTCGGCCACGGCCAGACCCGGTGCACAGCTGAGCCAAAGTGCGTAAAATGTGGCGAAAACCACAGCACGCACGTATGCAAAAAGGCCAAAGACACGCCCGCCAGGTGTGCAAATTGCGCCGGGCCACACCCCGCCAGCTATATGGGGTGCCCTCAGTACCCCAAAGCTAAAAACACAAAAACACAAAACACAGACACACACACGACACAAAACACTACACAAACACACAGACAGCCCCTCCTACCCACCCCAAACACAACCCCAGGACGCACATACGCTGACATGACCAGAAAAACACAAAACACACAAAAACAAAAACACAACACCTCACCACACGCACACACAGACACGACACCCTCCCAACCGGGCGCGGCGGCCCTGATTGACGCAACAAAGCGTCTTCAGGACTTCTGCGTCCAGCTGACGACCATGGTGTCGAATATGCAAAAATTATTCGACTTCTAATGGCTCGTCGGCCCTCCCAACCCTCCTCGCTGAGAATTTCGTCCTGGAACCTTGACGGGTTCCGGGCCAAAAAAACGGAACTCGTGGACATCTTGAACCGTCTAAACATAGACGTTATGGCTGTCCAGGAGACCTACCTCAGCGAGGCATCCCGTACCTCCATCCCTGACTATGACATATACAGACATGACAGAAACCGTAACGGGGGTGGTGTTGCACTCATAGTAAAGAAGTGCATCGACCACTATCCGCTGCAGCGGCTCCAAACTCAAAACACAGAGGCCGTGGCGATAGCGGTGAGATCGCTACGGCATGGAGACGTTGCGGTGGTGTCCTGTTACCACCCACCCAGACTACCACTACTTGACAATGACTTAGACAAAATCCTTTCCTGGCCCCAGACAATTGCCATCGGGGACTTCAACGCGAAGTCCCCCATATGGCACAGCGGGACGACGACCACAAGAGGTCGCGTCCTGCTGAATTACCAAGACAGACACGACGACTTGACTATACTCGGACCGACAGAACCGACACATTACGGACCCGTAGGACGCCCCGACGTTATCGACATTGCCCTCTTAAAATCTATACCGTTAAATGCCCAAATATCCACCCAATACGAAGGGTCTTCCGCCCACAATCCAATATTTCTGGATCTGGGGCGAAGACAGAGATATGAAGGCACCTTCACGAGGAGGTTCACTGACTGGGAGCGTTTCCGAACAGTAATGCAAGGAAACATGGCGCTCCCAGTCATCGAAACCACCCATGATCTGGAGGCGGCAATCCTCTCCCTTGAGACTGACATTAAAAACGCCCTGACTCAGACTACGACGGAGACTATTGTCCCCCGACTGACAAACCCCCGGGGCACCCTCCCCGATGACATAAAAAACTTAATACGTGACAGACGACGTGCGAAACGGCNGTGATTGTCAGGTCGTCGGCGTATAAGTATATGTTGGTGTTGGGGGGATGTGGGATGTCGGAGTTGTAAATGGTGTATAGGTGTGGGGACAGGACGGTGCCCTGGGGGACACCGGCCTCCATGGGACGGGTGGTGGAAAGGGAATCTTGGATTTGGGCCTCCATGGGACGGGTGGTGGAAAGGGAATTTATGAGTTTGGTAAAGGATATGGGATATTGGTCGTAGGATTTTATGAGTTTGGTAAAAGATATGGGATATTGGTTATTGAGCATTTTCATCAGCAGGCCTTCATGCCACACCGTATCGAAGGCCTTTGCGACGTCCAGGAAGACAGCACCAGTGTACTGTCCCCTGTTGAAGGTCGCTGTGATGTGCTCGGTATTACCGAGCACATCACGGCGAAGGATTTGGAGTTCAGTGGAGTGATTGGGTCGGAAGGCGAACTGCTCGTCTGGAATGACTTACATTTCTTGGGAGTGGGTTCTTAGACGGGTTAGGATAATTTTTTCTACCACTTTGCTCATAGCCGGGAGCAGGCTAATGGGCCGGTAGTTGGATGGGATGGTGTGATCTTTGTTGGGTTTTGGGATAAGGATTATGTTTGCTGTTTTCCAGCGGGTAGGGAAGTGTCTTAGTCTGAGTGTCGCGTTTGTTATGTTTAGTAGGGCCATGAGGCCCTTGTGTGGTAGTCGTTTAAGTGTCGTGTTATGTATATTGTCGGGTCCGGGGGCTTTTCTGTTTTTAAGTCTGCGTATTGTCAGTCTTAGTTCGTCAGGTGTTGCGGGGGGGATTATGTCATTGTCTGGCTCTCTGTCGACGCGTCGGGCCGCGCGCTCAGCCACTATCTCGAATTCCTCGTCTTCGTCGGGCAGCTGAGGCAGTCTACACTGCAGTTCCAGGCTATCGGCGAAAGCCTCGGCCTTTTCCTGGTTCGTGTAAACCACCCCCACACTACCGTGGATTGGAGGAATTTTACGGCGAGCGGTCTGTCGCAGGGCCCTCTGCGTTTTCCAGAGGCTGTTGTCTTGTGGATCCAGCGACTCCAGGTGCCTAGCCCAGTTATCCTGGGCCAGTTCATCCAGAGCCGCCTTCACCCGTCTGTTAAGTACGTTTAAGTCATGTCTGTGTCGGGGGAGGCGGGTGCGGGTGGCAAGCCGTTTCGCACGTCGTCTGTCACGTATTAAGTTTTTTATGTCATCGGGGAGGGTGCCCCGGGGGTTTGTCAGTCGGGGGACAATAGTCTCCGTCGTAGTCTGAGTCAGGGCGTTTTTAATGTCAGTCTCAAGGGAGAGGATTGCCGCCTCCAGATCATGGGTGGTTTCGATGACTGGGAGCGCCATGTTTCCTTGCATTACTGTTCGGAAACGCTCCCAGTCAGTGAACCTCCTCGTGAAGGTGCCTTCATATCTCTGTCTTCGCCCCAGATCCAGAAATATTGGATTGTGGGCGGAAGACCCTTCGTATTGGGTGGATATTTGGGCATTTAACGGTATAGATTTTAAGAGGGCAATGTCGATAACGTCGGGGCGTCCTACGGGTCCGTAATGTGTCGGTTCTGTCGGTCCGAGTATAGTCAAGTCGTCGTGTCTGTCTTGGTAATTCAGCAGGACGCGACCTCTTGTGGTCGTCGTCCCGCTGTGCCATATGGGGGACTTCGCGTTGAAGTCCCCGATGGCAATTGTCTGGGGCCAGGAAAGGATTTTGTCTAAGTCATTGTCAAGTAGTGGTAGTCTGGGTGGGTGGTAACAGGACACCACCGCAACGTCTCCATGCCGTAGCGATCTCACCGCTATCGCCACGGCCTCTGTGTTTTGAGTTTGGAGCCGCTGCAGCGGATAGTGGTCGATGCACTTCTTTACTATGAGTGCAACACCACCCCCGTTACGGTTTCTGTCATGTCTGTATATGTCATAGTCAGGGATGGAGGTACGGGATGCCTCGCTGAGGTAGGTCTCCTGGACAGCCATAACGTCTATGTTTAGACGGTTCAAGATGTCCACGAGTTCCGTTTTTTTGGCCCGGAACCCGTCAAGGTTCCAGGACGAAATTCTCAGCGAGGAGGGTTGGGAGGGCCGACGAGCCATTAGAAGTCGAATAATTTTTGCATATTCGACACCATGGTCGTCAGCTGGACGCAGAAGTCCTGAAGACGCTTTGTTGCGTCAATCAGGGCCGCCGCGCCCGGTTGGGAGGGTGTCGTGTCTGTGTGTGCGTGTGGTGAGGTGTTGTGTTTTTGTTTTTGTGTGTTTTGTGTTTTTCTGGTCATGTCAGCGTATGTGCGTCCTGGGGTTGTGTTTGGGGTGGGTAGGAGGGGCTGTCTGTGTGTTTGTGTAGTGTTTTGTGTCGTGTGTGTGTCTGTGTTTTGTGTTTTTGTGTTTCTAGCTTTGGGGTACTGAGGGCACCCCATATAGCTGGCGGGGTGTGGCCCGGCGCAATTTGCACACCTGGCGGGCGTGTCTTTGGCCTTGTTGCATACGGGCGTGCTGTGGTTTTCGCCACATTTTACGCACTTTGGATCAGCTGTGCACCGGGTCTGGCCGTGGCCGAA